GCATACAATGGCCAAAAGAAAAATTATTTGCTGAAGTTAGAGGTTTATCTTTTACATGTGCATATGTAAAAATAAAATAATAAAAACAAAAATGTGCATATGTGTGTGCCGAAGTGATGATTAATGATCAACATGTATTTAAAACAAAATGCAACTCACCCACTGGTGTCTCATGCCTGTAATACTATTTGGTAAGGATGCTGAGATCTGAGGATCCTCATTTAAAGCTAGCCCTGGAAGACCAATCCGAGAGGTTCTTACCTCCAATTAACCAGTAAAAAACAGGAACTGAGGATATAGCTCAAAGGGTAGAGTGCCAGTCTTGACCCTGGTTCTGAGTTCAAGACCTAGCACAAATAATAAATAAATACGTAAATGAACAAATAAATGAAAACTTTTTTGTAAGTATCTTTCAATGGAAAATCCCACGTTTTCTAGCAGGTCACTTGTTCTCAATTTTGTTAAGGCATTTCCTTTGTCACTAGGCTCTCAAAATCTAGTTCCACTGTCATTGACTGGATGGGCATTTGTAAGGCAGCATCCCTGAAATTACACCTTCTCTCCTTTTTTCTCAGAATCTTCTTTGACAATGCCCAAGCTTGCCAGATTGTTTTCATGTACTACAATTTGCACATCACCCTAGTTTTGCCATGTAAGCCTTGCTTTCTTTATATGTACAGTCTTGCTTTTTGTGAAGTAAAAAATATAACTTTTGACTAAGTATGTTTGTGCCATGTTACTTCATCATGAAATCCTAATACCTCACAGACTGTTTTGGACTGGAGATGTTCCAGAATAAATGCATAAAACTTCTAATAAAGTGATTGGTGTTGTAATACCAATGTATTTTAATTTTTTAATTGTGAAAATGTAAGATTTTTACCTTCAGCAAATGCAGTGTACTATCTGTGATACATGAGCCAAATATATGTGAATATCATCTTATATTATGTAAAATTTCTGTTGTTTTTTCTTTTCCTTTTCCTCCTCTTCTTCCCCTTCTTCCCCTCCTCCTCCTCTTCCTCCTCCTCCTCCTCCTCCTCTTCTTCTTCTCCTCCTCTTCCTCCTTCTCCTTCTCCTCCTCCTCTTCCTCCTCCTTTTCTTTTTCCTCCCTCTGCCTCCTTCTTTGTTCCCAGGGAAGTGATCAAATCCAGGGCCTTGCACATGCTAGACAAATGCTCTACCACAGAAACAATTGTCAAGGCTTTGCATTGCATTTTATCATTGTAATTCATTTTATTGTTATAATTAATTATGTGATGTTATGTAAAGTTTACAAATTTCTCTGCTTTTAAGACCAAATATGTCTTCTTTTCTACCTGAAGATTTTTTTAAAATATATTTTTATTGTGAAAATACTGTACAGAGGAGTTACAATCACATGGGTAAGATAATGAGCACATTTCTTATCAAGCATTGTAGCCTCCTGCTTTGTTTCCCCTTCCCTTCCCTTCGAATCCTCCCCCGCCTCCCGTCCCCCTCTCCCCCCCAGCAAAGTTGTGAAGTTCGTTTTTCGACATAACGGCTTGTACATCTCATTGTTGCAATCTACCTGAAGATTTGATTTCAGCATAAAACACATGCTGATACTAAGTAAGCTGAATCAACAGGATATGTGTATGTTCCAATGTGTTGGCTAGGCATGGTAGTTCATACTTAAAATATTGGGGAAATTACAGTTTGAGGTCAACTCAGGCAAAAGATCAGAGAGGCCACGACTTCAATAAACAAGCCAGGAATAATGATTCAAGCCCATAACCACCAGCTACATAAGAAGTATAGGTAGGAGGATCATAATTCAAGACTAGCTAGGATGAAAAGCAACTAACTAAATAACTAAAATAACTAAAAGCCAAAAGTGCCAGAGGCTGAAACAAATGTTGGTACATTCACTGAATACGCATAAAGCCCCGAGTTCAAATCCCATTTCTCCAAGTAAGGTTTTATATTAATAACAAAACAATTTGTACAATTTTTGTGGAAATGTTACATCTAATGTATATGAGTGTTCTATCTAAGTAGATATTCATTTCTTCCTTCAGGCTTCCTTTACACCACATTTCTCGGGCTAGCAGAGAGAGCATTATATCTATGCTAGATGCGCCACCTTTGGTTTCAGATTGAAAATCCACTTAAGTAGTCTGTGTCTGAAATAAATCTAGAAAACATTTGATAAATTAATAGCCTTAAGGAGATAAACAAATGAATATAGATTGAGTAAATGGTCTATGATTTAGCCTTTTCTTTCATAGATTAAAATATTAAAATATAATAAAATTATAAATACATGAAGACATCCATGCTAGGAAAAAATGTCATTGTATAAATATATTTTTTTCTTCTCTTTGATAATTTTGAAGTAGCACTGTTCAATGTCTTTCTGTTGAAGTTTCAGTAGTACTTGAAACTTTTTAAGTGATCAGAAAATTCATAGCTGACTGGGATTTTTCAGATATTCTCATCTATTGCTCACTATGGCCTGCACTTAGTTAAGAAATAATTTTATTTACTTCTTGTGTCACATTATAAATTATTCTGTTTTAGACTTCCATATTAGTCCACTAATATATAATACTACTACTACTAATAATAATAATGTGAAATATTTTTATTAAATATTCTTGAACACGTTCATCTAAAATTAATGCGTATTACCTTTTGTTGCTAGGGTCCATTTTTATTCTTGACTTATCAGAAATACTTTTTTTATAAATTCAATTTTCTATCTATGTATCTATTATCTGTCCATGTATTTAAATTTGCAAGTTCCAATGGAAATTATCACAAAGATAGTTATTCCTAGATACTACTGGAGAAAAAGAAATATTTATATTGGCTGTGTAGAACTTTGCTTTTTAAACCAATTCTAGAAATTTTTTTAAAAATCATGATATCAAATCAAAATACTGAGATGTAGCTGCAACAAACAGTGCCACCCATCTTCCATCTAGTGGTCACAATGCGTCACTGCAATCTAATTTCACTGAAAGTTGGTTTCAAGCTATTGGAAGACAAACTCCTATACCTTCCGGAGCAAAGGGAGGAGATAATGGGAGAAGTGGGTCGGTGGGAAAAATTAATTGATATTTGTGTAACTTGATGGGTATTTATTATAAAGCATACAACCCAAATGTTCATATACTTGGCATGTAGAGAATGTATTTTAAACTTAGAAAATACAGAAAGGAAAAAAAGAAAGGGATGGGAAAGGGAAGGGAGGAAGGAGGGAGAGGAAAAAGAAGGAAGAAAGGTAAAAAGAAGGAAAAAGAAAAGAATGACAAGAAGATAAAAAAGAAAGATACATCCCCAGAAATAGTGAGTTATGGAAAATGGCTGTGGATTACCAGATTTAAATGGTTTATATCATTCAAAAACATATTGCTAAATCTAACAGTTGTTTGTTTGTTTTTTTAAGAGAATCTGGTAATGTAGACTCATATATTGTTTTAGTCCATTTCCTATCACACAACATCCCTGGATGGGTACTTTATACAGAACCAAAAAAAAGTTCACTCAGCTCAGAGCTTGAAGGTTCAAGAACATGGCACCTAGCATGTTGGCTCTGGTGAGGCTTTTGTTTTTGTTTTTGTTTCCTCCAACATCGTGGATACTATCTCAGCAGAAATGTGTGAGAATATGTGTGAGAGGGAGATTTCACATGGTAACACAGGAGAGATTTAGAGGCCCCAGTGCATTGTTTTTGTAACCACCCCATCACGGGAATTAGCTTGGGTCCTATGAGAACTACATCCATCTTTCTGAAGTTGATGCCCACACAGTAACCTGATCATCTCCAAGTAGACTGCCATATTTTGACAGTTAAGGGAAGAATGAAATTACTTTTCCCCTCTTCCACCAGAGTCCTCGACATCTTTCCTCAACTATGCAGGGAAAGTAAACGAAGAGAGAGAATAAAATTGGTCAAGGTTCAAAATTCTTTGAACTTCCTCAGAAAGAAGAGGTAGGGTGAAATGAGAGGAACCACAAATAGGCATATGGCCCAATTCTTTCTCTCAAACCTCCCCTGTTCTTTTTCTTGGAGAATCGCATCCAATTGCCAGCGACAGTGCTGTTTTTCTTTTGTTTATATTCTTGAGAAAGACTATTAAGTAAATGAACAGTTCTTAAGTAAAAGAATAGCAAACTGCTTAGGTCTGGGCATGCTTCCCATAGACTGCTATAATTGTCCATGGAAAGGTTATGTACAATAAATTATGTATGAGATTATGATCTATTTTGGTTTTATTACTAGAAAGTGCAAAAGGACATGTTAAAAGGAAAGAAATATTTGTGTGTTTGATCTCCAAAAATACGTTAATGCCAAAAGAGTGCTTAATCCAATAGGAAATTGCAATAAGTAACTATTATAAAAACTATAAAGAAAAATTACATGGTTTTAGGGAAAAAGGAAGGGCAGAGAGCATAAGTGGAACAGTGATAGTTCCTGGCAGAACCACTGACTACTGGTTCTTTTACCTTGGTTTGGCTGTCCATCAGTTCTGTGCCCATTACTTTATCTCCTAAGTGGAAATGACAGTAAAGTGGAATCTGTTACATTTGCTTAAATGTGTATAGCAAAGATTTCTGTTTACAATTATCCACATATTGTATACATACAATTATTTTATTTTTTTCTTCTGCTTTGACCAGCTTACCCTTGTTCTGCACGATCAAGCCTCTACCTTTCCTTTGTTAATGTTATGTTGCCAACATTGTGATAACAATGGTTTACTAAGTCGGATGAATAGTCAAGCAAATGTTAACCATGAACTTCATATGACATATTAGTGAATTTATTTATGATCAGTGGTTGTATAGATAGCTTATTTGTGTGTCCCCATTTTAACCATTATCACCATCTTTAAGTACACTTTTTTATTTTTTTAGTTTCTTGCATCCACTACTAACAGTGGTGATCACCTTCTAGAATGACTCCCTTACCTTTTAGAGTTTCATGAAATACCACTGAAATGAAATGTTGATGCTTCCTGTCGCAACAGGTCTCTAAGCTGGCTGGTGTTTTAGTCAAGCATGGAATCCAAAAAGGTGACACTGTGGTTATCTACATGCCCATGATCCCACAAGCCATATATACCATGCTGGCCTGTGCCAGGGTTGGCGCCATCCACAGCCTCATATTTGGAGGATTTGCATCCAGAGAACTAAGTACTCGCATTGATCATGCAAAAGTAAGTGCTTTCTTTGGAACAATCAAGTGGTGGTTAGATCTACAGCCCCGTTCACATTTACCGGAGGAGGAATTAGGCAAGAATGATTTCATTCATTTGATGTCTTCCTTTCCAATGTGATCCTTAAATCTTAATTTTTTCTCTTTGACATAGATCTGTTAAACCAACATTTATTTCAGTCAGTCTGGTGTGAAAGGCATCTTGCTAGGTAGTTTAAGGAATCTTAAGATAAAGTATACGCCTTTCAAATTATCTTGTCATATTTCCAGTTAGGAGACACACAAGAATGTGACTAATTTTAAACTATTCAGTGAACACTCACTTGTTCAGCTCTTTCTATGTATCTGAAGTTGTCCTTGGAAGTTGAGAATAAAAAATGTTTACCATGTAGGTGGACCCGTAGATTATGAATAAAAATGAGAAAGGGATTACTTTCTCAGAATAAGAATGTAAATTTGACTTTACTAAATTATTTCAGTTCTTATATATAGTCTATGTATGTTCATGATTTGATGTTACCCAACTTCCATTTATTAAAAAAAAAATCTAATCTTAAGGAAGGCTACCTAGAGCTATAAACTTCAGTATTACTAATATTAAACTGTGAATTATACTCAAATATTTACCTTTAGAATGTAATAAAAGGAAACAGGAATTACTTTTATTTTCTTTCTTAGTCTCATCCCATTTTTAAAATTTTCTTTGTGATTTAGCTTGATATAGTGGAAAAAGAAGTGTCTCACCATCATGCAGAACCAGCCCTCTTCTAACTTTACCATTTATAACCTGGGGCAAACTATGCAACTGCATGAGGCTTTGCTCCATGAATATTGAATGATATTCAAAAAGCTGAAGGTACTATATGTGCATCTATTTGGCACAGTGCAAACATCCCTTAGGTGAAGTAATTTATAATGAGAAGTCAGAATTCGGGCATAAATGTGATATGGATAAGTTACTTGTCTCCTGAATAATTTATTGTGTCACCTTTACTTTGGATCTCTTGGTGGAGAAACAGTAGATAGAAAAGGAAGATGATGTGTTTGTGTCTGCAAATTAAGGAGAATTTTTGTTTAGTTACACAATTTTCATTGTGAGCTTATGGTATGGCTAACACTGTCTCTAGCATAGGAGTCAGGAAGGTAAATGAAATTTGAACTTGTCCTTGGAGAAGTTAATGTGCTAGAGAGGGTATGGATGAACATGTTGACTACATTCCCATACTAGAGGAATGCACACCGTGCCCCAAGGAAGAGAGGTTAACTCCATCCACAGACCCTGCCCTACCACATAGTGGCTACCAGATTGTCAAATAAAAGAAGGTTGAGTGTGTCTTCATGATGGACAGATTCAGTTTTTAATGGGACTTGACACATATTGTTCTTTGAAGTGGAATGTGCCTTGTTAAAAATAAAAACCCATAAAATCACAAATACACTATTGGATTAACACAAATAAGTGTTTAGAAAAAAATCATCAAAATTGTTAGAGGTTTGTTTTTTCTTGTGTTGTTTCTTTAGGCATCTACATAGGAAATCTAAAAAAAAAAAACAAAAAACTTTTCTGATTTCAGACACTTTGGAAATACTACAAGCCCAGCAACAACAGGTTTGCATGCGTATGTGTTTGTGTTTGTGTGTGTGTGTGTGTGTGTGTGTGTGTGTGTGTGTGTGTTTGTGTGCAACCCAGATCCCTAAGTTGCATTTTAGATAATGGCAAATGCATTTGACTTAATGAATTCCTTGGAATATATTTTGTATAGTTCATATTTATGAGCCCCAAACACCATGGAGTCTGTAATTCAAGACAGTAAGTGAGATTTATGTGTAAGTGCTTAGGTCTATAACATATAAAAGGATTTATTGGTTTTCAAGCCATTTATTCAACATAAAGCCAAGTCGTTCGCACATTTCTTTAAACAATGTGAAGCTGTCAGTCTGAACCTGAAATATTGTTATTGGCTTAGTTAGGATTATTAAAGCTATCTTAATTATGATTTTTTTTTCATTCTAGCCCAAGGTGGTTGTTACAGCCAGCTTTGGCATTGAACCTGGAAGGAAGGTGGAATACATACCTCTTCTCGATAAAGCACTAAAAATAGGACAACACCAACCACAGAAAGTTCTCATTTACAATCGCCCCAATATGGTAATCCCAGTATTTATGTTGTTTCTTGTTCATGATAGCATATCAAGGATGGTTCTAGTTTTGATCATATGAAAGAGACACTTGTCATAAAATATTAAATATATATCCTGAAATTGTTATTCATAAGGAAGAGAGACATGGGTATTTTTCTATTAAAGAAAACTAGATTACAAATTTTAAAAAATGGAACTATGTCATATTAATATATTGGTTTTTATGCGTACTGCTATAGGGGTGATATTTATTACTTTAAGTTTGGTAACAATATTTATAAATACTAACTCACCATCTGATTTGGGAATGTGAGACTTGCAGTCTTACTGTATGCTTTATACCTCCATTCCTCCACCTATTGGAAAAGTCTGGTTAATTAGTATGTAAAGTATCTTTTAAAATCCAGGAAAATGATTTAGGCTAGAAATAAACTATAATCATGAAGTAAAACCCTAATAGTCTCATGAGATAAATTGTTCCATGACCTGTGAAGGAAGCAAAAGGAATATAATATAAACGTGAATAGAACTTACAATATTTTTTTCTACTAACTTTGAGGATTACTTTATTTCCACACCCAGGCAGATCTATTTATGGTGGGCCAAGTTTTGGGTTTTTATTTTTTAGCAGATTATTAACATATTTTACTTTCAGAAATGAAATGATAGGAGTATAAAAAATCATGTACAATTTGGTGGAATTCTTGAGAAGTTATCTGTAGAAATTACTCCAGTGGCAAGATAGGAGAGTAGAGAGTGTTAAAACTGTGTCTCTTTGATTAGCACCTCGCAATTTCTATTACGTTATATTAAATTCCTAGATAAACTTTTAGTAGTCTGCGGTTCATGTACTGTCACACTGAATGGATTCTTATGGAGTTTGTGAAGAACTAACAATGGACTGGACCCAAAGTACTTCAAATAAAATATATTTTATTTAAAATATATAAGAAAATTCTTATTTTATTATTGTAGACCAAGAACTAGATCTTGTTGTGGGTCTCATTTAATAGACGAAGAAGCTGAGTCTTGAAGCAAAGCCTAAAGTCCACCTATTACAGAGTTTGAACTCTGGTTAAATCACTTTTTACTAATACAATATATGTTATTTTTTCCACTCCATAAACATCCAGCATGTGGCTGTTACTGTTTCATATTTATTCTTTTAAAATGAGAGTCTATTCTCTTTCCTTTTGCTACAAATAGTCTTTGCCTCTCCTCACCTGCTCACTTTTGCTTTTTCTCCAGCCTCTTTCCTCTATTTGACATAGATGAAGACTTTGAATCGCTCTTGTCCAAGGCCTACTGTTTAGACAGTAATTAAACCCAGTGGATTGGCTTTGCTTTGAGTTTAGAGCCACAAATTATGAGGCTGGGTGGTGGGCCTCATTAACCAGGATTGGATTTTTGCCAGCAGAGGTAAAACTTGGCTGCTATTCTAAGCCCCAGGCAAGCAATGACAAAATCAAAGGAATATCACATCAGTCACTCTGGTGTTCTTCCACCCTGCCTTTAAAGAATTCTTAACAACCAGAACGACATGTCTATAGAGTAAATGTGCTAAGTTGTAGATTTTTCTCTTGCTTTATTTGTCAAATCTCTTTTATACATACCTATATTTCTTAGCTTAAAGAGTGTAATCGTTTGTGTTCTTGCTTCCTTCATTAGAGACCTATAAAAATCACAGACCTGGAATCATTTTTGTGATCACTCAATCCACTCCTCTCATTTTGCAGTGCGGTGACTTTTATAGCTCTTTAATTCTAACATTAAAGGTTTGATCATTTGAAATGAGTTGTTTTTATCTCATTTATAAAATAAATGAAAACATTATTTGTTTGTAGTTGAGCTATTTCTGTTTATCTAAATGGTTGCAGGAAGTACCTCTCAGATTCAGGCAGGAGTTGATGGGGCTGACATTTCCCCTTCATAAAGGTTGTATATATAAATTTTGTATATATCTATATATATAAATTGTACATTGTCATATGTAATGACTTAGTTTATAAATTTCCTAGCATACATAGGTATGTGAAAACACAGAGCTCTTAGTTCAATAAGCTCTAAGTGTTCATGAAAATAGAAATGCATTAGATAGAGCATCATAAGGGAGCCTCTAGATTTGAGTAAAACATCCTCCTTTTGTCAGTCAATGTCAAGCCATCTTCAAATCCCTGGATTCTTATATTCTTATAAGCATTCAAAGCCCAGATTTAAGGTTTTGACATAAGTCCAATGATAACTGATGTTTAGTCGATAATAGCATAAACTTTGAGTCAGAACCTCAGACTTACACAAAATGTGTTACTCTGTATTTATGTTGAATCGAATTTCCCGAGTACAGATTTCTGTATTGTTGCTCTGTAGGAGAAGGTTCCCTTGGTGCCTGGTCGTGATCTTGATTGGGAAGAAGAAATGTCAAAAGCCCAATCACATGACTGTGTCCCGGTTCTTTCAGAGCACCCACTGTACATCCTTTACACATCCGGAACAACGGGGCTGCCTAAGGTATGCTCTCTCTCCTAGGGACAAGCAAGCATTCCCATCAGCAGATTTCCTTTGTGTCAGGACTGGCTCTCATTACCTGCTGAAAATGTGGCACGTGCCATGCACGCTTGATGATTATACAGAATCACTTTGTATTCAAGATAATTTGTTTTTACCATTTTCTGGGCAAAAAAAAATATTACATTGAAGGCTTCGATTCTGTTTATACTAAATTCTTCTCACTTGTCACCCATTCATAGTTGTTTCAGTAAGCTACTAAATCAGTACATATTTAATTGGATACCAATTGTGGTTCAATAAAATTTTGCAAAACAGTTTTATTTACTAAAGTATGTATTTGCTTTTGTAGGATGCTAAAATAAAACTCAGAGCATAATATATGTTAAATGAAACATTTGCAATCTTTTTTTGTTTTTCAGGTAAGGGGTAGGTTTATTCATCGTTCCAGCTGGCACCAGGCCATCTTGGTCCTCCACGCGGTGGGGAAAAGGCCTGGGAAAGAGAGCTGGGAGAGCTGGGAAAGAGAGAGAGCTGGGAAAGAGAGAGATGGGAAAGAGAGAGAGAAGAGCTAGAAAAGAGCAGAGAGAGAGCAGAGAGGAGAGAGGAGAGATCAGAGAGAGCTAGAAAAGAGCAGAGAGAGAGCTAGAAAAGAGAAGGGAGCTGGGAAAGAGAAGAGAAGGAAAAAGCTGAGAGCTAGAAAAGAGCAGAGAGAGAGCAGAGAGCAGAGAACAGAGACAGCTAGAAAAGAGCAGAGAGAGACATTTGCAATCTTTTGAATTGATATTCCACTTGTATACATTATAAAATTTATTTTAAAAAATCCCTCATACAGTGATTCATTCTTTTGGGAGTGAAAGATCAAGTGAGGGTCATATTTATTTCCTTTCTGGTTGAGGTCACAGAGGGATGGAGATATGAAATAAATTAATACATATGGTTCACTGCCAAAACTAGCACAGGGAGAGAGGCCTGAAGAGTAGGATTGAAAAGAGGGATAGATAAAGGCTTTTCTCCTTTTATGCATTTCTGTAACTTGTGCAACCTTTGTCTTTCTTAGATAACTTACTCATTTTTCCTACCCTAGCAGCAAAGTGAGAAATAGTAACATAAAGTACTGAACTTTCTTTTATCTGTGGTACAATTCTTGCAGTTAAAATGCTGAACTTGCTACATCTCTGCCCCTTATCTTATAGTTGTTCAGATCAATAATAAAAAAAATACATACAATAGCTTCCACTGAAGTAGTTCCCAAATCATCAAGATCCTGCAATGGGAGGTTTTATACTTGATGAGATATCCCAAATGGAAACAATCATTTTCTTCTAAGAGGATTCACAGAGTTTGTAAGCAAGCTTCATAGTTTCTCCTGAACAAAGAGTAATACACATTTTAAAACAGAATTGTGTACATCACACTGGCATTTATCCACTTCACCATTCACTTACTCAACCAACAGTGTATTACATAAACATCTGTACTCTGCCAAATACTCTGTTGGGCATAGCAAGGGACTTTCCTCCTAGCCTTCTGAGTGGAGAGGAGTGGCTCAGAGGGGTTGCCAGGCCTCTGATGAGGGCTGATGACCTTGGGGCTGAGGAATAGCTCTGAGAGACAGGTGACTTGTGCAGGAGCGTGGGACAGCACTCACAAGTAGTTGTGCTTTTTGCAGTGTCTTACAATTCTCCGTGAGAAAAGACTAATAATGGCTCAGCCAAGAAGAAAGGATGCCATTGTGAAAGTCATTAGAATAAGATTGTTGCTGAAGTGAGGAATTTCTTTTTCTTTCTTTTTTTAAAAATACACTTTTAGTGTACAGAGAGGCTACAGTTACAAGGTAATGAGTCCATTTCCTATTGAGCATTGTTACCTCCTCCTTTGTTTTTCCCCTACCATCCCTTCCCTCCCCACCTCCCCAACTCCTCCCTCCCTCCCCCCAACAAGTTGTAAAGTTCAAGATGTACAAGACACTATGTTGAAAATGAATGTTCTTTCTTTTCTTTAAGATTCATCAGAACTGTTGCTTTTATTTATTAATTCTCTGACTCAAACTATCATTTGGTAAAAAAAAAATTCTCTTCCTTTGTATTTATTTATTTATTTCTCTTTGTGCTGGTTCTTTTAGCTTTTTGCTGGTTACTATGTAGAGATATGAGTCTCCTAGACTTTTCTACCCAGGTGGGCTGTGTGAGCCACTGGTGCCTAGCTTTGGATTTCTGTTTTTAACTATAATATGTACTTTTTAATTCCTCTTTTTGGTCTCAACTTGTGAAGCTGAGATGAAATACACATACTGCACAATATAAATATATATAAATCATATAAATAAATATAAATCATACATGCCAGCATTTATATACACATATATGTTTATTATACACATACATATTAATAAACATACATTTTGTATATCTATATGTATATGTACATGAGCCTTTATTACAGAGTAAACAATCGGGGGCTCAACTAGGCAGCATGTAATTTTATGATGTACTCTAAAATTTATTGGCTCAATATTTTGATATGTGCCTTCCAGATTTTTATAAGACAATTTAAAGACACACACACACACACACACACTCTTTGATAATTGAAGGTATTAAGTTCCTAATACTAAGGAACATATCAATCTTTTTCCTCTTTCCTTCCACACAGATTATTCCAATTTTATTTTTCTTCTTTTAGTTGTGGCAACTGAAATTGCACACAACATTTCCTAACTATATGTTTTCTATTATAGTCTAAATGGATTGATTTGTGGATTTTTTTTTAAACTCTTCTTACTTTCAAAAGGAATTCATTAAGTTGGAATTCTCTTTTTTTCATGTAGGTTTCTTCTTTTAAAAATGCATTGTCTGGGCTGGGAAAGTGGCTCAGTGATAGAGCGCTTGCCTTGTATGCATGAAGTCCTGGGTTCGATTCCTCAGCACCACATAAGCTGGAAGTGGCACTGTGGTTCAAGTGGTAGAGTGTTAGCCTTGAACTGAAGAGCTGAGGGACAGCACCCAGGCCCAAAGTCCAGGCCCCACGACCGGACTCCCCCAAAAAATGCATTGTAAAGGTGATGTACAGAGGGGTTGAAAGTTGGAATTCTTTATGTGACTTTGTGGCCACATTCCTAAGTTGCTAGTAACCACCCTTTATTTTTATATACAGACATTGAATTATTTTTTAAATGCCATGTACAGTCCCAGTGGTCAACAAAGAGCACCCTTCTATTGTTTTCTTCCCATTCTCAGTTGGAGTTTGCCAGCATGTCTTCCTTGGTGGTACAGAGGGACAGTTCACTTGGATGCTATGACTATTCATACAAAGAAACTCAGAATAGTGCATGAGAGGGCATGGAGCTTTGCTGAGATGGTTTTAAATCATCGAATGCCTTTACTTTTAAAGTGGGAAGACCATAAGTGCAGATATAAACACAGAGGATTTTAAGAATATTGAATGGAGTTTGTTAATTAGGGGTAACATTGTTATTGAATAAGTATTTTTGCCTCACAGTATTTCAGATGCACTTTTTATTTTATTTTAAGGGTGATGCACAGAGGGATAACAGTTACCTAAGTAGGGTAATGAATGCATTTCTTGTCAAATATTGTTACCTCCTCCCTCCTTTTTCTCCCACTTCCCCCACCCCAACATAGTATCTTGTGAGTATTGCTGTTGCATTGGTTCGCCCTTTGTATCACCATTTTGTTATTTTCTTTCCCTCCCACAAATCAGACAAGACACAAGGTACCAAACTCAAAAACAGTGACAAGAGGGGATAAACCAAAGCGAAAAAAAGTAACTTCACACAGTACTTAAAAAACAAACAACAAAAACTTCTTGTTTACATATCTTGGAGTTCATTTTGGAACCAACCCAGATGCTCCTCAGTAGATGAATGGATGGAGAAAATGTACTATATATACACAATGGAATTCTATACTTCCATCAGAAAGAATGACATCACCTCATTCATTAAAAAAATGGAAAGATTTGTGGAAAAATCATATTACGTGAAATAAGCCAGACTCAAAGAAGCCTAGGCTCCATGGTTTCCCTCATTTGTAATAATTAGTCTAGGATAGTCCTAGCAGAGGAACATAATAGCTCAATAGCTATGTAATATGACCATATAGATGCTAAGATATACTAAGATATACTTTTAAAGTACCATTTGGAGAGCCAAGTTTGGTGGCATATATCTTTAATTCCAGTTAACAACAGGGAAACAGAGCTAGGAAGATTGCCTGAGTCTGCCAAATCTAGACCAGCCTGGAAAACATAACGAAGCCATAATAAATAAGCAAATAAAATGAAGTTTTTACCATGTCAGTCAAATGTTTGTTCCCAACTAATTTTTTTTTTTTTTGGTCAATCATGGGGCCTGAACTCTGGGCCTGGGCACTGTCCCTCAGCTCTTCAGCTCAAGGCTAGCGCTCTACCACTTGAGCCACAGCGCCACTTCCGGCTTTTTTCTTTTTGCTTATGTGGTGCTGAAGAATCGAACCCAGGGCCTCATGCATGCAAGGCACTCACTCTACCACTAAGCCACCTTCCCAGCCCCCTGTTCCTGATTAATTTTGTTATTTAGATTATAATGATTTTGGATATTTTAAATCTGAAATCAGTGGAAGTTCTGTGTTTCTCCTTTCTAATGTATTTATCATTATCTGGAAAAAATGATTGCAAACAAGAAATCAATATTCTATCATCTTATTCACATATTTATAATAATCTATTTCCCTTCCAAAATTTTCATAAAATAGCTACATGCAGAAGATATCAAATGCTTTGGGAATGAAGATCAAATTACAGGTCTAAAGCTTAATGGAAAATAAATTAATAATATGTTCAAAATGTTCATAGTCATGCTTTAAAAATACAGTGAATATTAAAGACAAATGAAAATAGATATAATAGCTTCTCTCTGTCCTTTAGCACCATTTAATTAAAAAATAGTATAAAGATGTTGTACAGAGGGGTTACAGTTACAAAAGTTAGGTAAAAAATCCATTTCATTTTTAGAAAATGTTCCCCTTCCTTCACTCTGTCTGCAGTTTTTCCCTCCTGTTCCCCACCCACAAGTTGTATAGTTCATTTTCTACATAGTGTCTAGTGAGCACCACAGCTGCGTTTGTTCACCTTTTGTCCCTCCTTTTCTGTGTATCCTTCTTTCACTCTCAAAGACAGATAAACAAGCAAGTCAAAAAGAAAAGAAAACAAAAACAACAGCACAGAAAAATACCTCTTGTTGCCATTTCCTGGAGTTCATTTTGATAAATATTGTGTGTGTGTGTGTGTGTGTGTGTGTGTGTGTGTGTGTGTCTGTGTGTGTGTGTGTGTGTGTGTGTGTGTGTCTGTGTGTCAGTTGAACTCGGCTTGGGCGCTGTCCTTCAGCTCTTCAGCTCCAGGCTAGTGCTTCACCACTTGAGCCACAGAGCTACTTCTGGCTTTTTCTGTTTATGTGCTACTGAGGAATCGAACTCTGTTCCTCATGCATGGGAGGCAAGCACTCTACTACTGAACCACCTTCCCAGCTCCGATAAACATTATTTTATATGATCAGAGTTGTAGGGTTTGGGGTTTTTTTTGGCAGTCGTGGGGCTTGAACTCTGGGCCTGGGCGCTGTCCCTGAACTCTTCAGCACAAGGTGAGCACTCTACCACTTGAGCCACAGCACCACTTCTGGTTCTGGTGGTTAATTGGATATCAGAGTCTCACAGACTTTCCTTCCCGGGCTGGCTTCAAACTGCGATCCTCAGATCTCAGCCTCCTGAGTAGCTAGAATTACAGACATGAGCCACCTGCACTCGGCCAGAGGTTTTTTTGTTTTTTGTTTTGAAAAAAATCTTTGATGGTAACCTCAAATTATTTCTTTTTTTTTCCTGTGGAATGTTTATTATTTTCAGCATATTATATATTGTATATATATTATATATATAGGCAGAGATAATTGTACATTTTCCTTTCTAACTTGTATATGTTATAATTCTTTTCCTTATAATTTTTTTTATTGTGAAAATACTGTACAGAGGGGTTACAATTACATGGGCAAGATAATGAGTACATTTCTTATCAAGCATTGTAGCCTCCTCCTTTGTTTACCCTTCCCATCCCTTCCCATCCTCCCCCCCCGCCCCCCCCATCAAATTATTTCTGACATGTCTTTTCTTTTTGGGTTATATAAGCATGTAAAGTTAAAATCAATATTATAATTAAATCAAATGAAATATAAAAATATAAATTTCTAGAACTTTGTTCTAGAATTTGTTTCAAAAATACTAAATTTGAGACTAAGATAAGCTCAGTAGTAGAATATATGTTTAGGATCCATAATACCATGGGTTTAATTACTAGATGCTACATTTTAGACTTTATCATTTTAAATGCTATTTCATTCATGTTCTCATTAAGTGATTAATTCTCAATTTTTTAATATTTTGCCAGTTGGGTTTCAGTATTCATTAATCATTTTTAAAAAGAACCCCTTCGAGTGATAAATAGAAATAGGGTCATTGATCCTTTAAATTTATATTCTGTATTTAACAAATAAAATGCTACTCACTTGTGTACCCATAGGCTCTCATACTTAGCAGTCCATATATTGCATTATCTAATTTAAAATTTATTCCATTGCACTCATGTTTGAATTATTGACAAAAATGGGCAGGCAAGTGAGGTGGTGAAAACGTTCTACAACATCTTACATGAAATTATTACTAACATAATACCCTCCTACCCTGAAAAGTGAATTCAAGGTTTTATAAAAATTCACTAATGCATCAGATTATTGAGCCAGAGGAAATGACACTTGTTAAAAACAAATTAATAAAATGCATAAAAGATAGACTACGCTGAGAAGATAGCCTCTCAGGTCACAAGGGAAAGGCCCAAGTCTCTCGCTGTGGTGGCTGAGGATTCCTGATGTCCCCAGGGTGATCAAAGGAGCCAGTTGTTTGCTAACCATGTCACACAGCTGAGAAAATAGCTGTCAAATGCCAACCTATCTGCATGTGATATCTGCCAAGAGACCAGGTGTTGTTGCTCATAGATAAAATATGTTCTCAGTTTGATACCTATGTTTTATTACTGGTACCCGAGGAGAGCAGTGATGTTAGTAACTAATAGAATGATAATTTCTCTTCTATTCCCTTGATTCCTGCATATGTGTTAAGAGTCCGTGAGTCTACCAAAAGACTACAATTAATAGTACATATATTGATTAGGCCAAGTTATTCCTCTTATATCAAATGATTGTATAGTGCAATTGCAATTGTTATAATAACAGATGCTTCAATACATATATGAATTAAGTTGTGTTTCTTAGCCTGCATTTACCTGCTCACTGTGGATATTCTCACGGATAAGCCTTGTTGAGCTAATGATGAATCATGTTTAAAATGAAGAAATGACCCCATTCATGACTGCATATATAGTGATTAAATTCATGATTCCATTTACCATGAGTTCTTATTAATGCTGACTATTGTGCTATGTTCAGATATCAGTCTCCTACTGAGTTTGAATGTGTTCATAATATCCAGGAAAGCTCCTGAAAACAGATATATGAAAACAATAAAGTAATGATGTAGTAATCCTTATTTTTTACCCCACATGAAAGCATATCAGCAAGATTTAGGTACAACTCATCAGGATTCATCCTTCACAATTCTACATGTTATCATTCAAGAATTGTTCAACTCTAATATTGTGTTTGCTTGATTTCCAATTAACATTATAACCAGGCTCTGGTTAGAATCCGACTTTGATTCCTCAGCCTAGTATAATTTAATCTTAAGGAATAAACATCTATCTGTTATTTTGCATTTTAGGCACATACCTACACTGTAACATTGTACACTTATGTTTGGCAGTTTCCATTTTTGTTCTGTAAATATATCTGAAAATATGGTAATAGTGTATGTCACCGCTGAAGAATTGCTATTATGTATCATTTTGCAAAATGTTAAGTTTTTGTTAGAAGTGCAAGGATATTGGGTGGGATTGGGTCCTACTAATAGAACTGATGAAGACGATATTGTTTTCTGGGTTTCCTATTGAAAAAGCAAAGGAAATAATGATACAAATACAACTACATAAAAACCAAATCTGTACTTTATAGAATATTAGACCCTCAACCTGAAAGTTTTAAAATAGATTGGATGAAGATAATATTTTACCATGATGGTGATGCTGGTCATATTAACTCCACCTTTTCTCTCACTTAGGGTGTGGTTAGGCCCACAGGAGGATATGCTGTGATGCTAAATTGGACAATGTCTTCTATCTATGGCCTTAAACCTGGAGAGGTAATCATAGTTTGAAGTTTCTACTACATGATTCTTTGCATTGCAGTCAGGTAATTCCTGACTATACTCCTGGCACTTGGGAAGTTGAAGTAGATCATGTTTTTGAGGATAACTTGGTCTATGTTGTGAGAGCCTGCTTTTTATTTTTGTTAAAGCCATCCATTTTCTTATTTTCTAGGTATGGTGGGCAGCTTCTGACTTAGGCTGGGTTGTTGGACACTCTTACATTTGTTATGGACCTCTTCTCCATGGGAACACAACAGTTTTATATGAGGTAACAAAATAAAAGCCAGAGCACTTAGAGTTCATCTTACTGAATAGTCTCTGAAATAACATTTTCAAGATGTATACCTGGGTTGGAATAGTGTTTATATTTTCTTCCAGATAAAAATATGCTTCCAATAAGAGAGAAATGTAAGAATTAATAATAGCTAGCTATATTAATTTTATAGGAAAAGTCATGAAAATTAAATTCTGCAGAAGATACAATAACAAGTTTACTGTTTTTTTCCTAACAGATTTTGAGAAAGTGACAAATGGACCTTAAGTTTAGCATCTTAAGAAAGATCTTTGTAATTCTCACAAAATCATCTTTGTGACTTTTTACAGAATTAGTGGATTTTTCTAAGACATTGGCTTCAGTTTTAGGGAACACATATATTGATGCTTCAGATTCATAGCTGGGTTTAAAGATTCTGATGCATGCATTAATGACGCCCTGTAAACGTTAATTTTATCCATGATGTATATAAAAGCCTAGACACCTCTTTTATCACATTTATGGGAGATCAAAATCTTGGGCAGCTAACAAATTATAATAGTTTGCGAAATAATTCTTCAAAATCATCCCAGACCTGTTGAGCAACTCTAACAAGATGTAAAAATATACACACCCTTGGGGCTGGGAATGTGGCCTAGTGGCAGAGTGCTTGCCTAGCATGCATGAAACACGGGTTTGGTTCCTCAGTACCACATACACAGAAAAAGCTGGAAGTGGTGCTGTGGCTCAAGAGCTAAAGAGCCCAGGGACAGTGCCCAGGCCCAGAGTTCAAGCCCTACGGCTGACAAAAGAGGTTTACTTCATGCAAACAATCCCTACATTCTATAATTACCCATAGCCCAAATTAGCTGTTAGTAGACTACTCAAAAAATATTAACCATAAGCTGGACATAGTGGCTTATATCTTTAATGCAGGCTACTCAGAATGCTAAGATCCAGAGAACTGTCGTTTGAAGGTAACCCAGGTAGAAAAGTCTGTGAGACTCTATAATCTTAAAAATAACCAGCAAAATATAATACTGGAGCCATGGCTCAAATTTCAGAGCACCAACAGTGCAAGCACACCCAGCAAACATGGGCAGCAAGCTAGCCATGTAAGAATGAGTAGAGTTTAAACTCCAGTATGAGCAATAATAGTAGCAGTAGTAATAATAATAATGATGATAGTAATAATATAAAATGGTATAATATTACTTTTTCACACTTGAAAATGTGTGTTCAATGAAATGGGATTTAAAAAATCATTAACATTTTGCAAAACATCTAAAGTAAGAGGCCAAGATAAAAATAATACATAAGAAAATAAAAGAATTGGCAATATTTAGCCTAACAACCAACAAACATAATGACTATTTAGTATATATATATAGATAGATAGATGTTTTGCTGTATAATAAGCTGATACATATTAAGTGTGGACTCCCATAATACAGTTACATTTATGTTTTGAGAGTAGTAGGAATGAATTTAAATACCTGCAAGGGAGTAGTGTAGCTTCTCAGATATAAGACTGTCACATAAGTAATCTATCATTATCAGTCAAGAAATCAGACAAGGAGTATGGATTGTGAAGAATAGTGCTAGATAATGTCAAGGTTCTTTACAATATTATAAATGTGAAATTCAATGACTATCAGAAAGAGAGAGAAAAAAGGAGAGGGTTTCCTATGTTCATGAGATTCTCCTAATCCTTTGACCATTTGGAGCCCATTTCTATTCTATCAGTTTTAGCTGGCAATTTTTATGCCTCTGAGTGCTAAAAGATATTAAGGCTGACATTATCCAAGGAATAAACCATCATACACTACTCCCCATCTCTTATACTATGTTTTTGTGCTTTGTAGACTCAATTTGTATTTGAGTGGTTTATACTAATTATGACATGAAATAGTTTTGACACATTTATTTCATATTAGTCTTCACAGATTGCATTACTAAGATAATGATTCCTCTTTAAGCAGACAAAATAAATATTAACACTGAATGTTCACAATGAATTGCGATGTTGCTTATATAAACGTGAAAAGCAGAATTTATTGTGACATTTGTAAATATTTATAGCTCTTAAGCTGACTTTACAATGGCAATTCATACTGTGTTTGTGCTGTTGTTTCTCAAGTTTATTTAAAACATGAGGCTAACAATGTCAACGAAGCTTAGCTGTCTTTGTCTCCAAATGGTGTGATGAACAATACTGTCACAAATACTTGTGTGAATGATTACAGGATGCAACACTTTCAAACCATTTCTTGTGCTTTTTCTCTGTTACAACTTGTAAATGTTCTCAAGTTCATCTGCTGACAAAACAAAGCCTTTTGAGACCCTTATCCATTGTAGCTATTGAATCTTAGCTTTCTACTCCAATAAGCTCTTCGAAGAAAAGACTACCCAAATGACATTCTACTCAAGTTTTTATTCTGCTGTTCCCTGTTTACCTCATCATAATGCAGTTTCACTTCAGAGAAGTTGCTGTGGCCAGGGCCTTTTTCAGTCTCATTTTGTTTTCTATCTCAATTTCATTCAGCCATGATTGTTATTGCCTTCTAGGAATTTTATCTTCTCTTCTATGCTCCAGATTCTTTGGCTATTGTTCTTCATGAAACTTCTTTTCCCTGGTATGACTCCCTTTGTCTCCTATTTACTTTCTGTTATCCAGAAAGATTCTACTTAGATGGTATCGTCTTCTGAAAGTTTTCTCTCAGTTTTGGACTGGATTCGGTGTTCTTCTCCTGTAATCTCATTGTCTCCTAAATAGTTATCTATTGCAGAGCTGGCCACGCTACTCTGAATTGGTCTATTTACTTCTTGAAGTGATTTGAAGCAGAAAGCAATAGTCTTCTAGCATGTGACACAGTGAGTGCATATTAAACACGAATATTGTGAAATTAAGTTGAACTTCCTCCTCATTCTTCCCCTTCTCTGACAATTTAATATCATTTTAGGCTCATAGTTTTTCTTCATTCTGGTCCCCAACATTGGAGGTTAATGGGGTCACATAGGTAGCCTCTGTTTTCACATTAGTTTATATTTTCTGGAAATATTCCTGCAGATTGATTTAACTATTAAATCCCTTTTCTATATCCAATCTTCCTTCCTTTGGATTGTCAGCTATTGTTGGACATCTTTCATCGGTGTATATTCATACCTCAATCATATAAATTAAACTCTATGTTGTCTTGCTATTCTTGGCATAAATTATTCCCAGTCATGTATTCTGTAGTTCTGTTAATGCTGCTTTCACCCATTTGTTCATTCAAACTACCTATCTTCAAATAGTCTAACATTATTAGTCTTACATCTCTTATGATATTGGTAATTAAAACCTCTGAAATCTACCTTTTCTTCTTTTAACCTATCAAAAGTGCCTTCTTCTTATTTCTCCTGTCCTATATTACCTGCTGATATTCAGCTGATATGAACAAGTAAGTCTGTTGCTGATGTTAGGTTTGTGTTTGTGTTTCTAATCTGATTTGCTCCTGTACAAAGTAGTTGGACAGATTGTCCTTAGCAAATATAATGTCTGAAATCTCGTAGATGCTTCAGATTATCATTATATAGTCTAGAATCTTTCTGAAAGATGCCTCTGCCTTTAATATTACTCCTTTTTAAACTCTCTACTCAGTTATCATTTCTTTCCGCCTCAACATCCTTGAATTAATGCTTGATAGACCAAAAAAATAATAACCGGAAAAATGTAGCAAAATCCTCATTTATTCCAAAGACATAATCGATATTTACATACCATGCCTTTCAACAACAACAAAAACAATATGCATTTTTTTAAAGTGCTTCTAGCATATATAAAAAAAGATAAATAAAATTCTGAGAGCCACAAAAGGAAGAACTTGAGCTAATTTGTATGTAAGTTTATCTGATTTGGGGATAGGAAGGGAAATAATGGGGCAGAAATAATGGGGCACAGAGTGAACCAATGGAACAGTGATACTCACTAGACACTATGTTGGAAATGAATTTCACAACTTAGGAGGGGGATAGTTGAGGTGGAAATTGAGAGAAAATGAGGAAGGGGTAACATTGTTCAAAAAAAAGGTACTCAGCTGAGCACCAGTGGCTCATGCCTGTAATCCAACCTACTCAGGAGGCTGAGATCTGAGGATCGCTGTTCAAAGCCACCCTGGGCAGGAAAGTCCATGAGACTCATCTCCAATAAGCCACTAGAAAACTGGAAGTGGCGCTGTGGTTCAAGTGGTAGAGTGGTCACCTTGAGCTGAAGAGTGTAACGACAGCGCCCAGGCCCAAAGTTCAAGCCCCATGACCAACAACAAAAAAAAGAAAAAAAAAAGAAAAAAGAAATGTACTCATTTCCTTACTTATGTAACTGTAACCCCTCTGTACATCACCTGTACAACAAAAATTAAATTACTATGCAGAATCTCATCTGTGAATATAATATATTTAAAATAAAAATTAGGAACGAAGAGGCAAAAGGAAAATCAAGCACTGCAAATGAATTAATACATTTCTAAATAATTTATAAGTCAAGTAAACATTGAAGGAAATTTATATATATGCATATATACAGTGTGTGTATATGTGTATGAAAGTAAAAGAAAATATATCATAACAAAACCTGCAGGATACAAAGTAGTGTGAAAAAGAAAAGAACTAAATGGATGCATTAAAAAATGGGGAACTATCAAGAACCCAGTATGAGAAGAACAATGTAAAGTACAAACAAGGGACTAATAAAGATAGACATAGAATTTAATGAAACTGAAAACAGAGAAGCAACAGAGAAAACCAATAAATCACAGAGTTGATTCTCAGTAGTCAAATTGACAAATCTCTGCAAGTCTTACAAAGAAAAAGCCACAAATTGCCAATATCACAAATTAAGCTATCACAAATGACTCTAAAGGCATAAAAGGGATAATAAGGAGATACCAAGACCAACCCAGCAACAGAAAACTTGATAGCTTAGATAAATGGAGCCATTCCCTCCAGAAACACACATTAGTACAAGTCACTAAATA